TAAAGCGCTGTGGCCACGGGAAGAGCACAGCAAGGACAGGACATATGACACAGATTTAAAAGCACTTTGTGGTTGGTTTTGGCAGCTGGAAACACCACTATAGCTTCTATGGTATGCGCCAGGGGGGGGTGAAGAAAACGAATGAAAGAAAATGACTCTTCTGCAGAGAGGTTTTCTAAGTCGACTGAAATCTACCCCTGTGAATAACATTCTGTTCACATATCAGATTATTTCCCTCAGCAGTGGTCAATGTAAAGTGGAAATGCAACCTATTTCGTAAGCATGCACAAATTCTTTGCAGCGCTGACTCTGCATTTTGCTGGTGTTGCATTAATTATGCCTGATTTTTGTTTGTCCCACAGTGCCCCACATCCCGCACGAAAAATATGATGTGTTTGCTGTTAAAAGATAAGAGGTGGTAGTGACCAACGCTGAAACAGAAACTGGAATATGAAGCTGTTGAAGCTTTCTTTTTTTCTCCTGACCTGAAATAAGTCTGTGACAGCATCCGGTTCTCTGCTCAAATCCAGCCAAGAACACACATTATTCCTCTGCACCCACTACATAACCTGTTGTTGGGACGACGTGATTCACTGCTAACGATTTAAATCGAAAAAATAGTTAAACTAATGACAAATAGGTTCTCCGGTTTATTGGAAACATTAGTGGAAAATAAGTCTGTGTACAGCAGTACAAATGATCATGATCATATAACTGTGTTTTGTTTTGTTTTTGCAGATAAATTACAGGGCAATAATTTCAATGTTCGGCTATAAGTGGGATATAGCTGCTTAAATTCATCCATCGACCCATTTTAAATACATTTATTCCAGGTAATGTTGGGAGTAAAGTTTAAATAATCAGTTAAAAACATAACATAAAACCACATATCATGTCTATCTAAATTAGAAATCAATAATCTATAATTGTGATAAAAGATTAAACAGTGAAAATGGGATTTGGTGGCTGCCTCAGTCATTTTATTTTGCTTTTCTTTCCTGTTTTATTTTTTGAAATCGCTTTCCTTCTGTGTCAATGTTATTGTAGCTTCCTCCTTTTGTTTATTTTCCTTCCTTAATTATTACCTGTCCCACCCTTAGTAGTTCAGCTTGTGTCCATTTAGTTTATTAGTCACTGCGTGTTTACAGTCCACTGCTTCCCCTTGTCAGTTCTCCGTTCATTTCTGTTCATCGCATGTGTTTCCAGCCTTTTCTCCTCACGTCAGGCTGGTTTCCCTATTCTTTTTTTGACTGCCTGCTTAAGAAAACTCCAACTCTTCAAATAGAATCATCATTTATACTTTAAATATGTATTCGGGATCCCACATGAAGACTAAGTGCAAAACCTTCATTAGAATAGACGTATGTAATATATGTACCCATGAACTGACAACTACGTAAATTATGTATAAATGTATCCTTTTCAAAGCAGTTCAAGATGATCTCTGGTTTTAGTTAAGGTTATACATGCAACAAAATTCTCTGATTTCAGTCGATGTGTGCCATAGAAACTACTGTCAGTGCCAGTTTCTGAGGAGCTTTTTTGCTGCCTGCATGTGTTTTTTGTCTCCACGTCTGGCAGTGGCACCATTAAATGTGCTGGTGACTTGTGTCTCACACGTCTTGCCAAGACATGTTTTTCCTCTGGACCCTCCTGCTTTTTGCCCTGACTCATTTTTTTCAAAGTATTTTCTTTTTTTTCCTCCCCTCCGTGTTTTGGTCTTTCATGTTCTTGTTTGTTTACATTCGCAGGGGGATGAAAATCACAGACTCAGGAAGATGCAGCCAGGAACGAGTCCATTCCCCCCTTTCTCTTTGTCCTTTCCTTCCCCTTCTTTCCGTGCTGAAATGCAGCCGGCGTGTTTGGGCTTTCCAAACTAGCGTCTGTGTTGGGGGTCTCTGGAGAGCAACCCCACCATAATAGGTGGAGTGGGCAGGCAAGCACAGGGGAGGGAAAATGAATAGCATGCTGTGGGGCTTTCCAGAGCCTGGCTCCTCACACGGCCTTTGTAGACTACGCTGAGCTGAATTTTTGCCTGTATTCAACTCAGCTTGCAAATCAGCTAGTGTGATGAGGGATAACGAATGAAAAATGTTTTTCCAGCCAAATCTGGCTCTTCACCAATCAAGTGAGGTTGAAAAAAAACAAACAACCCAGCTCGTTACAAAGTCATGCAGAGAAGAAGTTTTTGAATTTGTTTGTATTATTGCTGAATTCTTAGCTCGGTCCCTCATGCAACTTCGCCCTATATTTCACAATTCGTTCTCTCCTCTCCCTGTTTCCTCTTTTCTCTGTGCTCTTGGACATTGAGTAAAGACTGTAAAGGGTTTTCGCTGTGGTGTGCATGTCACCGCGTGTGCACGTGAGGATGTGCTGTGTGTGTGTGTGCTCCATTCCTCATAGTAGCCTCTTGATTCTCGTGAAAAGTTGTACGCTGTGATACAGCTGTAAATCTTAACGGGGAGCTGATAAACTGCAGAACCGGTGACAGCTCCACTTCCTCCTCAAAGAGTGGACTCTGCTCCCTAACCTTGGGAAAGCAGTGCCCCACGCTCCAGAAAAGTGGGATCAGAGAACTCACTGATGGAGTGCACAGGAGTAAAAAGAGGAAAGGCACCCCTCTATCTTTTTTCAGCCTCCTTCCATGCCCCTCCTAACCCCCCATCCCTTCATCTTACTGATTATGAGTGTATGTCAAAGGAAGGGAGGAGCAAGTACAGAGAGCTGGAAACAAGAGGAAACATCCAGATCTCAGACAGGCGTGAAGCACGTCAACTGACTCACTCAGAGCTCTGCACAAACAGCAGCCGACTCCTACACAGGCGACCGCATTCTTTAATCGCTGAGAGGCATACACAGACTGTGCACAAACAGTACAGAAGCAGGGCGCACACTTGGAAAGCACTCACTGTGCAAACATAGGAAGAGGCCTTTCTCTTTTGTCACGGACATGCAAACCTATAGGGAGGCAGACAAAACAGACTCTGGCCACGTCTGTGGTTCCCCATAGAGCTCCATTGTCCTTTCTCCCTTCTAATTTACTCATGTCTTTATGATGGCACATGTGCGTTTTAAAGACCAGGCTGTTTGCACTCAGTTGGCTTGTAGTTTTAACACAATGGCCGACTTATTTTGTGATTGTGTGTGTGACGTTGAGACTGAGGATGGAAAGGGAAGTGAAAACATGAGTTCTAAAAGAAAATGAAGGCCCTGGGGAGGGGTGAAGAAAGATGAAGGTATTCATAATATAATCCCTTCTTTGTTACTTCCTGCGTCAGTTGCAGGTGTAAAAGTTTACTCTCCACAAAGTGGAGCAAATTCTTTTGAACCTTGAAATCTTTGCTCTGACGAGCAAAACTAAAAATTGCAGTGAGAGCGACACATGATGTGCTACTGCTGCCGAGATAATAGTCAGTTGCTGATGCTTCACCAAGGATTTTCAAACCGCTTTAATTTTCTCTCCCCCAAACTAGATCAAACAGGACTATCTGTGTCTATCCTTGACAGAGACCCACACCAAAGCAGCAACACCAGCTCACACAGATTAGTAATCTGTCAGTTCTCGGTGGGAACCTGAAACACTGAAACCAGCCGAGCAACCTCTCCGACAGGGTTTGCTGGCATTCCAAAACCCTGTTTTCCCATTCCTATTTCAGATTTTGTGGACAAAAATCGAAATTACTTTAAAAATTGAATCTCTTTATCAGGCAGATGTATCTACTAAATAAGATATTTTCTTAATGAAGCTACATGTGGTGTTGTGAAGTAAAGCAAACAGCTGGATTTTCTGAGAAGCTGTTCAGTCCTGCGGTTCTTTGCAAGATCAGTTCCTGAGCCTTCAGAAGAATACTTTGCTTCCTAATGTGTGGTTAATGAAACCGGTTCCATGTTTTGTTCACAAATTATTTCTAGGTTTGCAGAACTAATTTGCATGCTGCGAAAACAAACCCAAACTTATTTTTTCCTCCCACAGTTGGCCAAGGTTACTGAGCACAACAAATTCAACTGAATCTTGTGTTTGTAACAGAGAAAAAAAATAGAAGAAGACGTGGTTATACATTTAAATTAATGTAATGCCAGATGTGCTTGTTTATCATTTTTTGTCCAACACATATTACCATCTGTTACCTTCATAAACTTATCAGACAGGTCAAGTTAAAGGTCAAGGCTCTAAAATGTCTGATTTGTTCTTGTTAAGGTAAGAACATAGAATACGGAATCCTGGTTAGGGTTTACAATATGGTATGATGTTGATTTATAACTGCACTTCCTTTACTTACCTCACAAACTAACATTAGTCTTCATTTGCTGAGAGATTGACGCATTATATCATGCATCAATTATGGTTCCTGGTACTGTCACACAGCAACTTCTTTTCCTGGCAGCTGGGGTTTTGCCTGAGGTTGGTTAACAGGTTAGACTAAGTGTTGAAGCATTGTCCTCCATGTGAGATCATGAGTTGCCTTGGTGTGGATTTCAAACCAAAGTGCGAACCTTATACTTGCACAAGCTGCTCGATATCCTAGAAATGATGGGAGATCCAGAAAAGCCTCATACCACCTTGATATTCGGTACAGAACATTAAAGATATTAACTGTGACAAATAAGCAAGTAAACTTGTTTGTTGCCGCCAGTCAAACATGTGAATTTTGTAAGAAAAAAAATCCATCGTAACCATGTGAAGAAAGCAAGGGGTTCCAAAGCATCACAGGATGACTTTTTGCAGACACGATGACATTGGTAGTAAAACGAAAACACAGGAACACAGTCACATGTTAGACTTTGGCTTGACTCACTGGCTTACTTACTTGGAGGACCAATCTCTCTGCCTCAGGCATAACTCTAGCATTCAATCTGCCAGCAAGTGTCCCGAGCATGTTTCTGTTGATTAGGCAGAACCCCACCAATCAGCCATTTGAGCCTAATTAGCATTTTCATGTTCATTGGTCTGCGGTGATAGCATCGCTGGCTGCTGCCCACTCATCTGTCCATGTTTACAGACGCGAGAGTTCGGCAGCCCTTCCTGGATGCACCCAAAGGACCCAGCTGGAGGGTGGTAGAGTAGAGTCGATGAATATCACGCTTATTGCTATCACTCTGTATAATGTAAACCACAGAAATATGAAGAGCCAACATCAATAATCCCTGATGTGAACAGTGTAGTGGTCAAGACAATGTATGAAAATGAAATCAGACTTTTTGTGTATCTTAAAGTAAATAAAATAGAGTTCTCTTCCAACATTGACATTTCACTTATTCATGGATGATGTTAATGATAATACATTCATCATGCTAAATCAAACATTTTTGTTACTTGAAACAGTTTTTCGTTTTCTAATGATGTTTATTCTGCAAATTTGAAAAAATGGCAAGCCTCAAAAACTATTTTAGACCTCCAAATCCCTGCTCTAATTGCTTTGCTTAGAAATTGAGGGGATATCTAATCAAAATAAACCAATTATGAGCACATAGTGATGTTGGCAAGACAAGTATGTATCTCCCTTCTTATTGACTGGGAAATGTGAAACGATGACAAAAAATGAGTTTTGTTTCATTGAATCTCTTCTGTGCCTGAAGAGGCAGAAGTATACATTATACTGACTTTGACATGGCAAAAAAGAACTAAAAACATAGATTTCTATATTCCACTACCCTGATTCCACAAATTGTGCAAAGTGTGATAAACCGTGAGTGTCATAAACCAAGGCTATTTTCACAATAGTCATTAAAAGAACATTAAATTCTGAACAGAGAAGTCCTTGCAGTTTCCCAAAAAGGGAGTGTTAAACTGCCTCTGTTACAACATTTTGGCTTGTTGAAGAGTGGCGGATTCTGAACAGGCCTGTCTGTCTAAAGAGTTAAAGTGAACATTGAACAGTAAGAAAAAAAAAATTTTTTATGAAAATGCAACAAATAAAAAAATCTAATCTGTATTTTCAAATGAAAAAAAGAAAATAGTTTTAGTGCTGTCATGTGAATTTGCTCTCACTTCAAGCATCTCCTCCAAAAGGTTAAAGTTATTTTACATCCAGCATGCTAATTTGTAGTAGCCCTCACTCACACCTGTTAGCCGTGACCAGACAGGCTCCAGAAATGACAACCTGTCTCATGCACACATCTAACGGCCACCGTGTCAAGGTTCAAAGGTAAGCAGGCATGCGGCAGCTGTGTTAGCAGTTTTCCCAGCCCTGAAGCTGTTTCTGGTTGTCGCCCCACAAATTGCCGCTGATTTCTGTTTGATTACAGCTCAAGTGTCCTGATTCAACCCTGTCTGCCTTGGTCACTCGCATTGCAAGCCGGAGCTGAAAAACAAACAGCAGCAAGTCAAACTGACAGGGCATTGGCCTCTGAGGACTTGAAGCCAGATTATAAATCAAGACTGTTACACAGCGGTGATACAAATATGTTTACTCTGTTTTTGCATGATCCAGGGATTCAACTCTGTGCGCACACTGTGTTGCAGTTTCAGGGAAAAGACTTACTTGAGTTGCCACATACAAACAATCCTGTTGTGCAAGGGCAAAAAAAAGTATTTACTGTGACAGACTGACCAGGCTCATATCTGTCAAAGAGCAGCTTGGTGAATTTGTTTTATGTCAACTTTCTCTCTCTGGCACTGGTTATCCTTTTCTGCAGATGTTCTTGGACTTGAGTTTCCATCATGTGGCTGATATTTTGACGTGATTCATGAGCCATGTTGGGTTAAGAGCGGGAGGGAGGCCGTCCAGGCAGCCGAGGCTGACTGAGATGTAACTGGTGTGATGTATGGATGAGGAGCAGCCACTGCGAAAACACGTCTATTTCAGGCCTCCATTGTTTCCCATTCAGTCATCGCTGTGTATGTAGCGAGTCAACAGTCAGTCTCTTGTGTATACCACCCTTTCGCTTAAAAAACAGGAGCATATGTTTCCTCTTTCTCAGCACGCGTCCTTCCATTGACCAAAAGTCCTTTCATCTTTTTCATATTCTTGAAAGAGCAACCTGAATTGCAGCACACACACGGTGAGAAAAGCTCCGATTGCATGGCAACGCGTTTCCATAACGGCATAAATGTTTGGCAGCACATCTGTTGTCTGAGTCTCTTGTCAGTCTGTGGCCCTTTGGCTCTCCTTTTTCTCGTAACAGAGGAGCTGGCAGCATTGTATCTTGGAGAAACACTTGATTTGAATGAGTTGCTGGGAATACCGCAGAACACACCGATGCCATCTGCTTCCCATTAAGACGGCAAAATTTATTAGCGGTGCTAAAGAGTCAAGAATGGATTTTCCAGGGTTAATCTGGGTCAAATCATCACAGAGCATTGTTCAGGTTATGGTGTCTTGCTGTGTGTCTTCCACTCCAATTTACACATTCATTTAAATCCACGATGTAACACATTTTTTTTTTAAATCCTGTTTTGTAAAATATTAAAACCTCAAAATATCTGTTATTTAGTTAGTAAAGTTAATAGCTGACTGAGATATCAAAGCCAATGATCAACAAAGTCCTTACGCAATTCCTGTCAGGATACCTCTTAATGGGTTTTTCGTTTAGATGTTTTTATTAGCATTTTGGCTCTATCAGGGCATTTGGGTGCATCAGTGCCAGTTTAAATGCTACCAACACATGTTTTGATCTCAGAATAGTAGAATAAAAGAAAGAATAAACAGAATTTTCAGACCTTCACCACCGGGATTTGCAAGTGCACTCGGCATGCAACAAAACCATCATTACAGAGGATTACAGCGATATAAACTACACAGGGATGCAGAAACAGAGAGAAAAAACAGGGGAGAAACTGAGGAAAAGTCTTTCAAAGAACCAAAGTGACAAAGTGTTTGGTTGAACTCTGTCACCTCAGTGAGAGCTGGTCAATCAGTGACATGTGAGACTGCCGGCCACCTGTCTAACTTGGTTTCTAGCAACGCATGCATGCACTCGTGAGCCCACATCTGAACAAAGACAAATGCACCTGTCCTAGAAGGGGAAAATTTGTTTGCCCCTCCCTCAGAACTAAATCTGTCATCTTAAACACATGGAGGGGTTTTCAGCAGCTTCCTTTCACTGAACACAAAAAGGCAATGCCTCCATTGGAGTCACTTTTCACACATCCACTCAGTCATCCAACATACTATTCATCTCAGGGTACATAATTCAGCGAGCTAACAACTGTCTGTTCCACACATGTGAAGCGCTGATGAACACTTGTGTGTCTGGCATTTTTGGAGAGGAAGGCACCATTCAAGTATTTAGGCTGCATCAAAATAGATTGGGGTCAGTTCAGCATGTTTCAGTTCAGTAGAGAGCTCAGTCTGATGCACATGGAGGGAGGGCAATAGAAGGCAAACAGCTCATTCGCTGTGTTTAAAATGATCCTCTCATTTTTCAGTCTTTTCGCCAGCTAACTGATGATAATGACAGAGAAAAAACCTTTTTGGTTTACGCAGTTTCCAGAAGGGATGAGAAGGAGCAGCATGGTCGCCCTTTATCGGAGGACCTTGATGTAGTTTTCGTGCAGGAGAGTGGCTGACAGGTGAGATTGAACCCTTTCGCATTCAGTTTGGTTGCCATCAGCTTTCCTGCAGTTCACACAGAGGGTCTGACTTGTTCACAAACACTTGCTAAGAAATAAATTGGTCTGCAATTGGTTGTCTAGTGTTTAGCCAGTTTTAACACAGGTGTGTCATTTGTGACTGCTTGGTAACTATTCTCTAAACAGTCAACAACAGTCAACAACTCTTAGCAGATTCCTACACAGAATTATGAGCTATAGAGCTGGGTCAGCGATTCCATTTCTAAGCCGATCTGACAAATCTGTCACTATCACCGATTGAATACAAATTTGCATCTGAGACACTTTTCGGTTGGTTAAGGCGACGAACGATTACTGGGGGTCACCAATTTATTTGTGGGCCAGTTTGGGCTCTACTTTATCCAATGAATTTGACCATCCCAGCATATTTTGTTCTCATGCATGCCCACACCATACTGTTTGCACCATTCAGTCCTGAGAGCAAAAACATGCTGAAAAGATCAGAACTGAACAAAATGAATCTTTGCGTCACCTGTCTGAAGCTCCCAAAATTCAGTAATGATCAAACATTTTATTTGTTTGACTTCATTTCCTCCATAAATAAAATAAAAACATTATAAGTTGGATCTCTCTTTCACTGTCTCTGTAAATTGTATAGATATTTTGAAGAAATAATCCAAACATTGAGAGGTGATCAAATTTTTGACTATTTGACATTTAAGTGATGTTGTATTTTTCTGTTGTTTACAGCATGTCACGTTTTTCCAGAGCAACAAGGAATAAATAGCCTAAAGGATACCACATGCAACGTTAAATGCGCCAGTGTTTCAGAGTAAAAGGAAACATTCTTCTTAGATGCACGGATGATTGAAAGTCTGCAGGATGTTAGCGTTAGATTAGATGTTAAAGGCTGATGAAAACGTGCTATCATTATTCTAACCTCCTCTGATGTCCTCAAAACAGAATTTAAACCATTCTGCTGACACTTTACTTTTTTTTTTCTTTTTTTCCCCTCAAAATGAGGCCAATGTTTTCTCACATGTAATCGAGGTTGAGCAGTCCAGGGCGCTGTAAATTTGTCTAACGTGGCCTTTCCTGTCTCCCTCTCTCCAGTGTCTGCATCTGCCAGCCACAGCTACAATGTTCCCTATTTATAGTGCTTTTACCTCAGATATTGACTCCCTCCGCTTTGCCTGCCACTTCCTGTGAGAGAGGAAATGTGTGTGTGTGTTTTTGGTGTGGCATATTGACCTTTGGGAGCAACGAGACTACTGTTGATAGCAACAGGATTTTATATTTCCAGCCTTTTACTGGGAAGTGCATGAACTAATGTCTGAGTGTTTCTGTCCCATAAATTTGTAGCCATCTTTGCTTCTTTTCAATAGCTGAAAGTTCACTTTTGGAAAAATCTGCTACACAAAGTAGTCGGGCAAAACAGGACTGATAAAAGAGGGAAATGAGAGTTTGACCAGTTTTATAGGACACGTCCCAGGTTTTCGGTGTAAGCTCTAAATCTATTTCAGGGTCATGCAATGAGTGTTCGTGTTGTACGTGTTTGGGTGTGTGATTGTGTAAGCCAAAACGATGCGCTGGAATTCACCCTCCTTCAAGGCCCTGATAGAAGGAAAAGCAGCAAGTGGCTGGGGCATCCTGTTTTGAAAATAAACACTGTTTTGCTGCCAGTGCTTTTACTCCCCGCGTTGGGGAAAAAACAATCTGGTCTGTCACTTTAATTCGGCCGCCTGCTTCCCTGGTGGCTAATAATAATGATGAGATAGCGTCTCCCGCTCCTGGAGGAGATAGCCATCTTTTCGAGGCGAGCCTCGTGGAGGCGGCAGGTGCTTGGGGTTTGTGTCAGCAGCCTGGACAGACTTCAGAGCCAGGGGAGGAAATCCCATGGTGGGACAGCCGTGGCCGTTCGCCGTGTCGGTCCGTCTGGCTGCTTTTCCCGATATTTACCCCTGACGCAATTTCCTGTGGTCACTGCAGAGTTTTTTGGCCAGGGATATTCAAAGGCTGGTCTTCCTGACATTTTCTTCAACGCTTGTGAGCAACACAAGGACGAAACCAGCTTGATCTGCACTAAACACTGCTCAGTCACTGGTGTGAAACGTTAGCATTTTACAAAGGAAGCTGCCATATTTTTGGCCCAAGACTCATATTTTGCCATCTTTTGTGCCATTACATAATTTAAATGAAATACCTTAGCACAAAGACAGATGTGGACCCACATCTCATGGTTTAGCAATCTCTGAAAAAGTTGACGGATTCATGGGTAGAATGTGTTGTTGTAATTTTAGGTAAAAGAATACTGACACTTTGTAAGCAACATGCAGAGTTTTGACAGGCTGTTTTAAGCCAAACCATGACTTTTTACAGACTTAATTAAGCTATGTTGGCACCACCTTTGATGCATAAACCCCCCCAAAAAATCTTAGCAGCCTCAAATGTGAACTTCCAGGAGAGTTCTGCCTCTTCCTCCATGACCACCACCTGTTTACACAACAGAGCACATACTTCAGAAACTTTTTTTATTGTGATGCCAAAAATAAATAAATACTGCAAACCATGTCTTCATGGTTTGTAGTAAAGAAACATGTAACATTTTTCTTAGAGGACACTGTGATTGTCCTTGTCCTTGATATGAAGGAGCCATAAATAGCTTAGGTTGCTTCTACAACTATTTATGTTGGAGATGGTTGACACAAATCACTTCGGTACGATGGTTTTGAAACGCGATGCAGGAAGTGACTGAGGTGCGGCTTCTAAAGAGCACTTGGAAACTTTGACGGACTGAAAGTGAAATCTGTCCCGTGCAGAAGCAAAAAAGCAGCAAGCCTTGATGAACAGAACAAAAAACAGACACATGTGCAGAATGTGAATTTATTTAATTTCCATTCTGTGAAAAGAATGGCCTTGTAATCTTGCTCCTTCACAAACAGCTTATAAAAAAAACTGTTACGTACAAAAATACATGCTGCAGTTAGAACTCAAAATTCAGAGATTCAGTGTTTAATTCAAATATATAATTTGCATATGAACGCCAGAAAAAGGTGGCTCTGAGTGAGGAAAGTTTATTGAAAAGAACTACAAGAGCAAGAATCCAAAAGAAGGCACTTCTTATTTTCTGAACTCTTCATAAAGCTTATCCAGCCTACATTCAAAAAGATTAACATGTGTGCACAAACGGTAAGGAGGGAAGGCAAAGATAAGCCACAGAGAAGACACTTCAGCTTCACTGAAATGCAAGCTGGAGATCCCAGCTACTGCTACAGTACTACTAACCTAAGGTGAGTTGACTTTGGAAAAGTATCCGGATTGTAAAGACAATGACGGCAGGGAAATTTCTTTAGACTAGCCCATCACTTTCCCACTCCTGAGTTAAACCAAATACCCCAAATAAAACAAGAAAATAACCAAGGGATCTGCTCTTTGATTCAAACAGTAAGAATGTTCAAGGCAAGTCCTTAAGAGGCCAGTTTTTAACAAATGTTTGTTTTAATCTACAACTTTCCTAGTTCTTCCAACACTTCCCTTTCAAAGTTGACCATTACTCGTCTTGCAGCCCATCTTGAAAGCCACTTCTTGGTTTGTCAAATGCAACTTTCTTTAACAGTTCAAAGAGTCTTCAAAAAACCCTCTAAACAATGTTCAGTTTCTTTCAATCTGGTCAATATCAAGTTCCCCCCCAAGCTGGAAAATGTCTCTCTGTGTCCCACAGTCACCCTTCCAGAGGGTGCGTTTACTGTCCACAATGTCCACAGGAGACCCGGACCGGGAGTCAACGCTACAAGCGGAGTCGCTATCGAGCTCCTCAAAGGATGAATCCTCCTCCTCTTCATCGTCTCCTATCGCATCCTGGCACGACTCTAATCCCGGCTCAGACACAGCCGTGAAGTCCGACTCGGACTGGACGGCCGTCTCAAAGGGGGGCGGCGGCAGGCTTGACTGGCAGCTTTCGGAGGCCGAGAACCCAGGGCAGCTCAAGCTCTGGAAGGTCTGAAGTTTCTGTGCAGAAAAGTTCAGAGAAAGAAGTCGACATTAGTTTGAATCTCTTGGCATAGTTCAAATTCTGGTTTCGCCCTGTAGAGACCATAAACGCTGAGGGGAGAAGAGGGAATCCGAGCTTGGGGTTCTCCACAAAAGTCAGGCTGATATTGAGTTTCATTTTGAACAGTCAAAAGCTGGCTTTCCCTTTCATCAAATGCATGTGAACATGTAAACATGAGTACACACACAAGTCGCTGCGGAAAGTACACAGAACTGTAACCCATCTGGGTTGAGTGAGGAAAAACACTGAGATGCGTTGCAAACCACAGATGGTATCTTTAGTCAAAGTGTGCTCTAGGCTTATTCTTCGCTGGAAGACTCTCTGAAAGGCATACCTAACCCAACCCTAAGTGATACAAAACACGTTCTCGTCAGGCCATGGCTGTTTACAGTGGTATGGTGTTTTTTTAGTACGCTACCAGGAGTGTCAGGGGGAACTTGTATGCAAACAGACAACAGTTTTGCTCTCAAACGTTGACCTCAGAGAGATCAAATTCTGTCAAAAGTTGTCTCCTGTTATGGTTTCATGCCCTTTTCCCACCCCGACTTCCTCTCTCCAACAAAGAAAGGCAGTTATGCAGTGCAGTGAAGGGGTTAATGATCTCTGGAGTGCCCCCAGCAGCAGATGTTGGAGGCATGGAGGTGAATAGAGATGAGGTTTTCTCTATAGAGCCTCGGCTTACATGACAGACACCTCTAATGTTCCCTAGCATTTGTTCAGACATTGCCTTTGCCGTTACAATGAGCTGGGAGTCTCCCTCTCCTAAGTCTCATTTAAGGGAGCTCGTGCAAGGCCCAAAGGAAAAACTGTAATGCAGGGTTTTGTGTGTGTGGGTTTAAGGCTGGCTCATTCTAGCTGGATTAACTTTACTTTTACGATGCTTCATCTGCAAACGCTTGAGGTGAACACGTGAAGAGTGGGAGGCCTCTGCTGTAGTACCCCACTGCTGTAGTTACCCCACTGGAGTGGAAAAGGGGATTTCTAAGCCCTAGATCCCTCTGTTCAACCTCTAGCATTACCCCACTACTAATTATCACAGCAGAGGAGGGGACGAAAGCACGAAAGAAAGGAGGGGGAGAAGCAGCTCCTATACAACAGGCTTTCTATAAAGTCTGCTGTGGCAGACTGAGCTTTGTGTGGGTGTGCTGGTGGGTTGGAGGTGCACGCTGAAATTTCTGTGACATACTCAACTTTACCAGATGACATATATACATTTCATATGTATATAAAAGCAGGATAGACTGGTCTGTGTGTTGCCAAACGATGGCCTTTTACACAAATTTCACTATAATTTAATTTGAATAATTCTGTAATAAGCAGAGCAAAAGGCATAATGGGCTAAAATGGGTAACAGAACCTTTTTAAAAGTTAACTGATATTCAAGTAGTTGTTAGCTCGAAGCATGAGCCTTACAGCCACAACCTCCAATGTAACGATGCCATCTGCAACATGGGATGGAGAGCAAGCTGCTGTGGGAAACAATTCTGCACACGCTAAAAGCAGGTAAACAGCTTCCTGACCAACTAAACAAACAACAAATAACTCCCTGCTATGTTTTATGGCACAAGATCCCGCTGGATACTTCAGTTCACTGCGTTTGTCTTCGTTTGTTTGGCTTCTTTTGTTGCTTTAACTCTGTGCTAAAAGGAGATCAGTCAGTTGACATCCAGTCAGACAGACAGGCAAACAGATCTCAAACAGTCAACGACTGGGAAGCATAAAAACGAGCATGGATTTAACTCATACCTGACAGTCAAATTACACAGTTGCACACTTCTACATTAATCATCTGCATTGTTGTCTGTGTGAAGGAGTTGACTTTGGTCTGACTGGAATTCAGTCCAACACAAATGCCTTGAGGGTAGGGTGAAAGAAGCATAAATATCTTTAGTTTTCAGGTGTTGAAAAGGGGCCTGATAGCATGTGTGACTAACCACCGTTGAGGTTTACAGCGCGCATTTCCAATACGACGCGTAATTACACACATTGAGAAAATGCACCTAAATGCGGCCACCTAGGTGCTCCCACATGCCTGCAGACGCTCAGCTATGATCACCGTGCCTGCCATTCCAGGACCGGACGGAGATGTATCCAGAGGAGGGAAGGAGAGTAGCAGCACAAACCCAGGGAGGCGAGAAGATATTAATAGAGAGGGCTGAGGAGCTTGTGTGCCAGCTTTCCTGCTAAAATAATACTCCCCTGCTTAATCCCGCCATCTCTCTGCTCTGCACAAGCATCCAGGCCCACAAATCCAAGCACTTGCTCAACACGTCCCCCTTTCATCACCTGCGCTGCCGAAGTTGCCGGACACAATTTTCTAATTGTTTTTTTCAGAATGGACAATAACTCGAATGAGCAGCGTAACCTCACCAATCCGTTTCCTGAGAAAAAAAAACAACGCGTCTGCTGAGTCAGCAATCAGTCAGCAAGTGACCGGCAATCACCAGACGACATTCTCCATTCGACAGCTCACTACACCCATGACTGTGAGGGGAAAAGCCTTCTGCACCAATGTGGAGGGAGGACCGAGGACAGAACAGAAATAAACTGCTGACAGAGACAATGTTTGAGGAATTTAAGGGGGGGGTGGCAGCATGGAAATCCCTGCGTGTCATGCTATAGCCAATTAGCAGGACACGCATCCCCAGAGTTCACACCCATCCTCATTGACGTGGATGAGGGATCTGGGGAGGCCAAATTACACCATGTTCCACTGACAAAACAGATCTCAGTTGTCACAATCCATCACACACCCCCCCCTTCTCTCTCTACCACACAGGCACCTAAAAAAGAAGTCAGATTTACTCCACTCTTTGAGGCTAAACATGCGTTTGCTTCCGTCTTTCCTCTTCACTGGCTTTATTCTGCGTTAATCATCCAAACATTTGGGCTAGATGGGGTGCGCCAAGTCTTTTCAATAACAGCCTGAGGCGGGACGCACAGCGCACCTTTCAGCAAGACAGCTTGGTATGAGACGCACCCACTTCTTAGGAGGAAAAGGGGAAGATGAAGGCATCCCTGACACGAAAGACTGTGATATAAACAACATATTGAGCTTGTATTGAAATAAAAACCACAATTGACTTTCTTACTCACAGGTTGCAACCAGCCTTGCGTCTCCACATGAGCACCTCCTTTTTCCGAATGGTTAGTCAGCTTAAAGAGGTTATTTTCTACTTGTTTAATCAAACCCCTTTGGGAAAAACCTAAGGAAGTTACCTGAATGTTGAATGGATGGTTCTTTGGCTTCTGGTTTAATCAGATTTAGAGAGGTAAAAACTACACCCCTGTTTGTTCAAGATCCAGAAAATATGTGGACTAATTATCGGCAAACACCATCACTGTGACCTTTATCGAGTACAGGGAAAGCATCAGTTGTACGCTGCTTTACCCCAGGCGAGCATGAGGGTGAGAAAGGAAAGGACATGAAATGGCCCATCCAACCTGCACTACTGGGCTCTTTTGAACAATGCTGGCAGCATTTGTACCAGGAAAATATGTAAACATTTGATTAAAAACAAAAAGAATAAAAAGCCTCAGGACCAACAGGTTCTCTACAGTGAGATGCAACTGACACAGGTAACGATAACAGAAGTGAAAGTGTCGGAAAGTCCTTTATGCACAAACACAAGTGCATACATGATTTTCCCCTCTCAGCAGCTGGCAGAGGTAGAGGAAACATGCCTGCTGGGCTCCATTACCCGGGCCTAGTTGATCCAGCCCTGGCTAAGTCCTCAGGGTGACTGGCTGGAAACACAACTGCTTTTGGAAAAGGAAGGGAGGGTAGACGGATAAACTGATGATACTTTCTAATAAGGGAACAGAAAAAGGACACTTTCCCTTGACAGAAGGCACTGTGGAAGGAGATTAAAAAGTGGCGTATACATATGAGATACGGGCTGAGTCACTACATCGTGTCTGAATACAGCCTGGCTTTAATGCTGCAAATTCTATGGAGAATTTTAACTGAATAATAAGCTGCATGCAATGGACCACTCTGTGAAAACATCACAGCATTGCCAAGCATTAAAGCAGTACATGCCATTAAAATACTTGTGCCGTTCTATTTTGGGCTTTGGGTTTGTACAGAGGTCCATCATACTCTGGCTCTTCCACAGCTTCCTCTGACCTTACAAAAGAACAAACAAATTCTTCACAAGGGGAAGGCACCACAGATTTCTGTACATCCAAATATCCCCATTATTAATCACCTCTTGAAAATGAGAAAGAGATGAAGAATTGCAGTGAAAGAAGGATGGAGGGTCAGACTTTCAGGGAGCACACAAATGAGCACAAGACGCCTAACCTTTGGATGGGCTATTTACCAAACGGAGTTGATAAACCGGAGCCAGGGCTGCCAGAACGTAGTGAGGAGTAGTGTGACCGGACACGGGGAACGCTTCATAAGCAAGAACCCTTCCATGAGATGAGAGGAAGGAAGCCCGAGATAACCTAGCCCTAAAGCCTTGGACTCCCAATTCAGAAAACTTCATTCAGCCTGATTTAATCCAGTCACTAATCAGATGCGGGGAAAGGACACCCTAGATCTGCTCTGTGTATTCTCAGGACAAGACGACATTTGTCTGTAATGCAAGTATATTTGGTCAAGGATTTGTCCAAATGCAATAGAGGGCATTTTGAAGCATTTAATTAGATGTTAAAAATTAGATGATGCTGATTTATGTCTATTAAAAAAATGTGACACTAACCTCTGAAACTAGTCAAATCATCATTGCACGCATTTCAATGAATGAGAGCCTTTGTGTGTGAGGACATTTCCTGCTAACCTGTGTCATCTTTGCCAAGTCCAGGGAGGGCCTCTGCTCCTGGGCGTCCTCTTGCCTCCTGCGCTTCACAGCGGTCTTTTTGTCGTTCAGCACGCAGGGCTGCGACTTGCTACGGGACAGACAGCCCCTCCCCCCGCCTTTCTTTCCAGCTCGCCTCCCCAGCTCTGGGGTGGAGTCTGGAGAGCTGGCTTCAGACGCCTCTTCCCTCTGGAGCTCTGTCAGGCTGATCTGCTCATGGGAGAGCGAGAGAGGCCTGAGGAAGATGTGACTGCGGGAGTGGTGGTGATGATGATGATGATGTGAGGAAGGAGAGGTAGGGGACACTGGAGAAGCAGTGAACTGGGGGTGGAGAGGCAGCCGCTGGTTGAAGAATGGCAGGTCCAGGGCTCCATCTGAGGGGACGCAGGAGCGCGAGGGCAAACTGAAGCTGGAGCTGCGCTGCATGGTGGGAAAATGGCTGCCTGCTCCTCTGACACTGCCTCCACTGTGGCACCTGCGCTTCTCCACGGTGGTCCACACTCGTGATCCTTGGGGCTTCCAGGATGAACGGAAGCCACTGAACTCATCAGACAAGGACAGCGAGCGGCACTGGCGTTTGCTCGGGGGGGCGGTGGGAGCTGGGCCGGTGCCTGTAGTAGTGTACTGTGCGGTGGAGGACATCACGTGGGTGCCCATGGTTCCCCCGTTGCCCAGGCTCAGGTCCCTTATCAGACTGGTGATGGCTGCGGCGCTGCCTGGTTCCTTGGCCCAGTGCCGGCTGCCAGGCTCAGGCATCGTATCCCACAGGCTCTCAAGCGTGGACTCAGTCTGACAGGAAGCTTTCTGCTGGATGCCGCAGGTTCGCCCCAAGTCCAGCCATCCATCTGCCTCTGAGATAAACAAGACACACAGACTCATGGAAACTAATCCAGGCCTGTAAATACATACATATTTCACAAAGGGAAAAAATTATGGTAAACCCTGGTATTCTGTAACCTATAACTAAAAGCTTTTTTAATATACCCTCTTGAGGGAATTTCTCGCATAGCAAATAACCAAAATATTTACATGCTCCTCAATATTCCTGCGATATGTGCATGTCAGTACATGTGAAACAGGAACTCCCTCAAAGTATGTAAATATGCAAAGAAAAATGATGCATGAATGAGCCAGTTGCACATGATGAGAGTGTTGCAATGGGAGACATTTGATTCAGGACCCTCCATCACCCCTCCACCCTCCATAAAGTCCTCTTTATGGTTTGGGAAAACATTTGTGAGAAACCCAGCTGGCTAGAGAGGCAACATTTCTGATCATCTAAAACATGAGCTGGTAAGAATGCTGAAAGCAAAACAGAAAACCCACATTAGGGTCAGCGAGAGTGTCGGCTGGCTGCACTTTTCTTTAGAAAGCGGCAAGAAAAGCCGCACGCCTCAGTCCATAAATATGCCATTCAGGTGGAAGACATAATACACCTACAGTTATGTGTCATATCATTAGCAGAGAGGTTATGTTGAGAATATTTCTACTGGCGCTTTCAACAAAAAGGTCTCCCCTCCTGATCCAGAGCCCATCCTCTTGGATGCCTATCTCTAAGTTTGGCAAGCCGCCTCAGAGACTGGTGGGCGAAGATCGCACTTTGGGCTGACAAACAATGCCCGGGCGCCTCAGCGACGACCTGACAGGAATTTCAGGAAAACAACTTGACAAAAAGAGAAAATGGGATGGCTTTCAAAAGGCCTCTCTTTGAAAACTAGACGCAAGCTACAGACTGAGTTAACAAGACATGCTAAGCTACATCAATGCCATGTCTGACAGTGTGGGCACACTCCAGCCTGCGGTGTCACTAAATGTCTCCACAAAAGAAGGACGGTGAGTGATGGCAGCAGACTGTCCTGTTACAGTTGCGCCTCTTTTAACACGGAGGGTAATTACTGCAGCTCAGCTCTAAAAGAGCGAAAGGGAAATTGTTGACAGAAGCAACAGCACAGTCCATTACAGTTCACTCCCGTGAGAGTGCTGTGCAACGTTGTGTGGAAGCAGGTGCACCCTTATCGTGAGAGGGGGATGAATGACAGATGGAGAAAGGGAGAAGTGAGAGACTGAACGCGTTGGGGGTGATAAACAACAAGACGTTTATAGCGGGGGGGGGGGGG